CAAGTTGCTACTGTCAAGCACGGCAGAGGTCTCGAGCACACAATCCCGCCTTTGCTTTACAGTCATCACTGAAGTGTTGTAATTCCGCAAGACTGTTTTTAGATGTCTCGAATTCCCACAACGGTGCGGCAGGCAATGAATTAGCTCAAGGACTTTTCAGTCGCCTGTCCAGATAGCCAGAGATGGGTGCATTAGCGAGTCTGCAGTCTGATGATTAATTCAACCAATGATGTCGGCCTTATCTGTAGGGTGAATGCGTTTACGCGTGCAGAGCAGTCTTCAAACGTCGGTGACAGTTGGAAACCCTACTCACTAGTTTGCTAGGAGACCCTGTGCATTGCGTTACTCTGTTTGCAGCCGGGGTATTTACTGACAAGCCCGCAAGAGTTTCGCACCTGCCTTCTCAACTCTGGTGACCAAACGATCGCCCGATCTCTGTCCTTTGCAGCTGAAATCTTGTCCCTCTCCAGCCTATGCAGTGTACTGTACTGTACAGGGGCTGCACACCCACGAGGCGTCCGGAGAGGACAGTGTCTCTGATGAAGTCTAAAAGTCTTGCGACAATGTTCTTGTGCTCTTGCTTCATGCTGTATTTGGACGAATGTGGGCGATGAGCTCGTTCCTGTTGCCTGGGCCTCAACAATTCCCGTCGCTACATTCAGACGGTTTCAAAATGTCCACGCTTCGAGAACCAGAATCAGCGAAGCTGCATCCGGAGTTGGACAAGAGTGCACTCATTGGATATTAACGCTTCATTGTAGCGTGAAGTCAGATGATTGTCTCGTGATATCGTTTTTGATGGCCATGGCGGCTGGGGCCCCTCGTTATTTCGCTGGTAGATGCCCGTTTCTGAGTTAGATGTGTACACAGGTTGCGCGATACACCATATTTAATAAACAGGCCCTGGCTAAAGGCCCAGACACGTGGTTTGCTGGCATCCTGTCGTAGCATGACACAGTTGCGGGGAGTCCGGCTTATTGGTGGATCCTCCAGCGTTCCCCACGTGCTGTCTGCTAGATACGCCAGTTTTGAAATTGCGGCTTCTTACTTTCCCCAGAAATAAATCCAAACTTGAAATACATTAATTTAGTCTTGAATTACGCCACAATTATCACTAGCAGAGGGCAGCCTACGCTCTTGAGACTGTTGATTTATCCATGCATTCTGGAAAGACTGAAGTGTTATAGAACTGGATCCATGACCAGGAGAAGGTACTTCCAGGAATGAAGTGGTAGACACTTTCAAATGCCTCCAGACGAAGCTGCTGCCGATTGAACTGCATGGGGACCACATCGTTTCCCTAATCTATGCTGTTTGCAAGGCTTTTTGTAATCCTCCGAAAGCAGCTCTGCACCCGAAACGATATCTCCATCGTCGCAAAGCTCCACATCTCCCGGCTATCTGTCTGGTCAATCATACTGTACGGCTGTGAATGCTGGACTGTGTGCACGGAAGATAAACGCAGAATGAAAATGTTTGACTAGCGTGGCCTGTGAACTACCCTCCAAGTGAAATACTGCGACTTAATTTGTAATGAGACAGCCCACACTCACTGCAAAAACTTCGTGAAGATAACTCAAACCGCACAAGAAAGACGACAGTGGTGGTTTGGACCAGTTATTCGACGACTCTCCAATGAGCTCGGTTTTGGTGTCTTCGATCCTGCGCTGTTGCCCAACTGAAATTGTAGAAGAGGAGGTCAGGCCAAAACTTAGTTCGACATGGTCCGTCCTTACACGGAAGTGGATCTTGAAGTCTAGGTACTCGGTCTCTGTAGCCGGAGGGGGAGATGCGCCGAACCCTGCAGATGCACTGCCACAGATTGTCAAACGTTGAGAAATACATCTTTGCCAACTACAAGCAAGAACCTTGGTGGAACGCAACGAATTTTAGTTACAGTGGACGCATGCATTTTACTTAGGCGTTGAAGGAATATTTCAGGGGACAAATCTTTGAGAAAGAACTGATTCCTAAGCGCTGATTAATGCCTTGCCCCGATATAACTATGTCAGGTGGGTTTGGTAGAAATCTGCTCCCAGAAATCTGCGCTCGACATAATAATGATAATGGCTTTACTGAGTTCGCAGTCCTGACATTTGAAAATTTGCGTTCTTTGTATGGTTTAGCTTTGATTCTCTCACATACAGATTAAACTGAGGCAGGGTGCGAAAAGTCTATCATCATCTTGTCATTTACACCAGTGCTGAATTGTAATCGATAGTTTTGTGAAGCTCATTGTGATTTCGGCGTCTATGACCGAAATAATCTCCTGTCTTCACTGTTGAAATTGTTATTTTGGCAAATGTAGCGCAGAAGTAGGCTACCATGGTGAGAGTGAGTCTAATTTCAAAGGCAACAGTTTTTTCAAAGGTTTACCTTATCTCAGGTAACATCGAGGATGGCAACACATGTTTCAGCTGCCTAGGCATTTTGAAGTAAATTAGATGAAAAACTTGCTCGCCGAACGAAATACTGCCAGGGTAAAAGCGAGCCTTGACCAAAAATGCGGTACGTAAAGCAAAATTTCCTCTGCAGTGTCCAGTCTCAAAAAGTCGCCCTTTTGATCTGACCGCCGACCAGTTTCTGCGAACACCAGTTAGCTGCTGATGCTGACGTCTAGAAAGCAGTAGCTACTCATTCGCAGCGTCAAAAGGCCATTAAACTTGTCTGCGAGACTTGGCCGCTGTCGACAGTCAGGCAAGTGGCTCTCAGCGACAGTAGTGGCGGCGCCAACAGAATTAGCAGCAGCAGCAGCAGCAGCAGCAGCAGCAGCAGCAGCAGCAGCAGCAGCAGCAGCAGCAGCAGCAGCAGCAGCAGCAGCAGCAGCAGCAGCAGCAGCAGCAGCAGCAGCAGCAGCAGCAGCAGCAGCAGCAGCAGCAGCAGCAGCAGCAGCAGCAGCAACAGCAGCAGCAGCAGCAGCGGCAGCAGCAGCAGCAGCACTAGCAGCAGCAGCACTAGCAGCAGCAGCAGCCGCGGTAATAATAATAGTAGTAGTAGTAGTAGTAGTAGTAGTAGTAGTAGTAGTAGTAGTAGTAGTAGTAGTAGTAGTAGTAGTAGTAGTGGTTGTTGTTGTTGTGGTAGTCAATTAAACCTTGATACTACAAGCCATAATGTGAATTATTCATGGTAAGTTAAATTTCGGGAACAGTTTGGTTTTGGATCTATAGTTCTAGTTTCCGGGCCCCATTTAGGCCGAATTCTGCAAAAATCCTAAATGCTTCGAAAGGTTAGATTTTAGGCCTATGTTAGAGAGCAGGGTCAACAACAGATCATTATAATAACCGAGTACGCCTATGACTACCTCATTACTACCATAAATAAGTGACATTTGCACCCCCCACCCTCATTCGACCTTTATTAGGGATTCAAAAGTCATATTTGGAATCTAAGTCTTGGTGGAAGCTCTCAGATATGATCTGGCAAATGAGACCTCCCGGTCATTATAAATAGCGGCAGCGTCAATGAAAAACAAGGTGATTCAGAACTTTGTTCTCAGAATAGGGCTTTCGGGCAAAAGTCCTTCAGAACAGTCAGTTTCAACTCCTGGTTAGAAGCGAAATGAACTTGCGATTACGTTTTGAAGAATGCACTCCTATAGATCGAATTATTAATATGAAAACGGAAGAAATCTACTCGAAATTCTGCTACGTAAAAGAAAGAGGACGGAATTGCTTATATGGTCCGCCAGACAGAAAACGGGAGTAAGAACGCCCCGACCCCGTAATACAGGTGGCCTCGCGCTAAATCCCAGGAAACAGAAATATTCTCGTTCCCCAGCCTTAACGTAAACCCCAACCCTAATATCAAGCCTAACCCTACAATTAACCTTACTCCCAACCTTAACCCCATTCTAACCATCCTAATTTCCCTGGAATTTAACGAAAAGGCATTTGTATAACGGGCGGTTCCTTTCCGGAGTGAGGGGAGTGGGACATATATGCACTCCCTACCAAGAAAACTTTTAGACTCGCTATTTAACAGCTTTTGAGATATCGAATTGATGGTCAATTAAACGACTGTCTAAAACGCACTTAATAGGTCAAAATTATTTGAAAAGACAAAAGAACAGTTTAGTTCCAACATATTTTTTTTTTATAAAAACGAGATGTGCGCAGCCTTCCTTCACATACTACCTATGCTCGCAGGTGATCAGAAAACTGACGTATCTGCATCGAACGTTAATAGAAGCCGCTACAGAAGGACCTTCTAACAACCATGTGATGCTTATTTAAATTATATAAACAAAAAGGCCATAACATACCACTCCGGTGTATCATCAGTGCTGGGCTAAACTTTTGTTCGGAGCAACTGCAGTTGCATGTGAGTCGAGGTCATCAGGTTGCTCAGTGTGGTTATTGATATGCAAAACGAGGGAAGAGCACGTTAAACAGCCCTTAATCCACCAGAACGCCTCGGGCTGATTACGTGGTGACTCTGGTTATTCGAGGCCATGGTAGTCTGGATAGACCCCTAGCTTGTAGGGGAATAGCCGACGGAGAAGGATACTTCTCAAAGCTCAGATGGATGAGAAATCCTACGCAGTTCATACCATCCCCTGCCTTAACCGTCTGCAATTTCAAATGTCTGGCCAAACGCAAGCTCGAATCGGAGATACACAAGCGCAACAGGCTGGTCTCACCTGCCAGATGAATCTCGAGTTCTAGTTCGTAGTCGCCAATATAATTACTGAAGCCAGGAGCTGATTGAGACCTGTGTCTATGGTGAGGACATATTGATCTTGCGCCCGGCTACAGAGTCCTGCGGTACTGTAGGTTGGTTGTTTGGTTGGTTAAATTACCCCGTAAATGCCGTGTGTTCTGTTGCTGCTGGCATTTCTGACAATGCGCTCCCGTACAAGTTCAACTGCTCGGAAAATTAACAAATGGCTGCAGTGTTCGACCAGTCTTCTGTCTTGCTCGAAGGGTTTTTTCGCTCAAGACCCCTCGGCTTGCACATATTAAGCAGGGCCGAACAAATCTGGTTGCCCCATCTCAGGACAGGTAGTGAACACCATGCTTGCGTAGCCACTAGGATCCTCAAATGTGAAACAATTTCTGGCCCAATCTGACTGCGAGTTTGGCCTTAGACTTGGACAATTATTTACACTTAAAAGATAGTACCTATTTGATTTAGGTAGCGTTTTAAATAACTTAATCTTTACACCACCTGGTCACTCTGCGGCATATCGACCACGCAAGTTTGAGCACTTGATTGAGTTTCGATTGCTTGGGAGCTTAAGAAAAGTAGAGTAGAAAAGTAGTACGGAAACTGTCAATTAAAGTCGATTTGTTCGGGAGCGAGGGAGTTTTTCAAGTCCCCTCAGCATGACTTCAGCCCGGCTTCAGCATGACTGCATTGTGAACAATTTTGGAGATATAAATTACTCTAAACGGCTAGTTTCTCACCTGGATGTTCATCCTTAAGATGTAGAAGAAAATGGATTGAAACATTATCTACTGATATTGAGGCAAAGAACTGTGACAATGTTTAAAGTATTCTGTGGATACTAGCATCTATGTCGTTATTATAATTGGAATTTCCCGTCAAAACCTCGTACATTTCCGGCCAAAAGTAGGCATTTCACTAGAAACAACTGATTTTAAAGCCTTTACGAAGGCTCACAAGTTCAAAACTATAGTTGATTTCTAATTAGCAAAGTCACGATGTATGGGTAACTACACAGATGTTTGAGGCGAGGACATTAAACCGATCAGTGAGTTCCGACACGAAGGAAAAGATTGTTAGAAGCACATCCACTCCACTTGGGTCACGGGAAAGATGAATGTCTTTCTACTCATTGTTAGCTAGTAGAACTTTGACAGCGGACCATTTACTAAGGCATGCTGTTTGTATATCAACCTTTAGCAGGACAAACTGACCCAAAAGAAAGAAACACCCATTTTTTATTGCCTCCGTAGTCTGAAATGAAACTCAGTCTGGAGCTGAAATTAACTTCGGTGTTACGTTTACACGTAGACCAATGGTGTAGAGACTTCATTAAAGAAAACCAGATCTTTTACCTTTAAATATTATTCTGCAAACCCTTATCACCGGCATGCATGCGCATGTCCTCCCCACACGTAGGAACAGTGGTTTATTCAGTATTCAAGAGGCCATGCATGAATTATTTCTAAACTGGTAGCTTAAGTCGGGTACATCTGCAAGACGGTTTGTCAGTGGGAAATTTTTATTCAAAAAATGGCCTTGTCCAACTGACCAATCAACTTTGAGATGAGTTATGTTTCCTCAAGTAGACTTTTTGACGGTCGACAACATTTGCAAGCCGAACAACCACACGGCGTCAAACTTCATTCATAAGGTTCAATTCCTTCATTCCCACCTTCGTGTGTAAATCCAACTGCAGGAGATCATCAGAGAAGTGAAAAGAAGATAGCAACAAGAAAAATGGCCTTAAAAGGTGGAGATACCGAGATAAGGGCGTTTAGAACTGAATACCGGTGCGCCTAAATTGGAACACGATGCCAAGACTAACACTGATAATGAAGATAATGATGCTCAACCCCAGTGTACAGGTATTATTGAGTGAAGAATGAAAAAGCCCTCGACAGAGACGTCTGGGTTTTATCAAGGTTTAGTTGACAAAAATGAACTCGAGGATTGGGGATGTACAAGAAAAAGCTCAGCGCGAAGGATGATAGCGAACCAGAGCGGGGACCGCTAGCCGCAGGTGCAACGATACGTTGTATGTTGCAACCCTATTCGTGGACCGGAGTATGTGAGTCAGACCAGGGGGTAGGAAGATGGAGAGTTAGCTTTCCATCTGACAGGTGACAGACATGACTGTAATCCTGTTTGGACGAGACAAAGCAAGGTGGCTAAAGTCCACGAAGGCGGGCAACTAGAGCCAACAAAATTATGGGAACTGCTCTGACTGCGAAAAGTGAGCAACAGTTCCTCTAAACAAAAGATACTTTTGTATTATCTTTACGTCCCTAGGGGACAGTTTGGCCGTCGCAAACGACGACTGCCCTCGAGTGCGGTACAAAGAAAGTGTCGCGTAAACTGGTTTAAAGTCGGGTAGACCCGTTCAGCGCCTATCGCACTGTCTCAGCAGATCGTTAGAGGTCACTCCTAAACGAGTTGCCAGAATGCTAGAGTACAAGTACGAGCCATCACCGTTTATTGGACTGTCAGTATCTAGATGGAAGTCACTCCAATCGGGAAGCTGTCCGCATTCAACAAGTTTGGCCTATCAAATCTTTTAAAAGGATGTCAACGGAGAAGGGTGGGAGATTTTCCTGTTCGATTTCCTCCGACGTGCTCAGGATGACTAGCGTTCAGATGTCAGCGCGGTCCGAAACAGCGCAAGCTACGTCTACTAAAACGTCTGAGTAGACGTGAGTTAAGGAGTCGGTGTACTATCGTTACTGAGGCGGCATTGCCGTTTTTCGGTCAGTAACCACACCCCAACCCTCCGGTCTCGCTAACTTGTTTTCCGGGTTGGTACTACCCTAAGGATAACTTGGCCATTTCCACAATGTTATTATTGACAAAGACAAGGGAGACTGGCAATGACATTCTGGCTACGTCCTGCGATGCTGTGCAGCTGCTGGTTGGGCTCGAGAAGAGAGCCCGTAAGGCGCCACGGAACGAGTGAGTTCCGTAAGAACGATCGGTGAGCGTCCCCCTGCCATTAACCATTTTACCGCCTACGCGTGCCACACGCGTCCTGGTCCTTGCTGTGCGTGTTAATCCACCGTGAGGGCAGCCCCGATCTCACATCGGCGACTCTTACATCTTCAGTCAATCCGGCCGCTCCTCTCGTCAACTGAGAATTTTCTATGCCGGACTGACGTTGTGTTCGCGGCCGTGGCTTCGAAAGCATATAGATATCCTTGAAGGTGTACCACGGCGTGCTACAAAGGCTGTTCATAGCCTCAAAAACTTTACGTACGAGCAGCGCCTGACGACCCTGAACCTCTATCCCCTCCACTACAGGCAGGACAGAGGTGACCTCATAGCAACGTTCCAGTTGCTAAGAGGACTTAATCTGGATGTCGACTGGGAAACGTTTTTTGAAATGGCACCCAAGTCTCAGACGACATGATTACCAGCTTAAAAAGGAACTAAGCCACACAAATCAACGTTCCTCCTTTTCCTCACAGAGGGTCATTCGCCAATGGAACTCTTTGTTAATTCCCCTACCGTCAGTGTGCTCAAGAGGCAACTGCTGGAAGGCAACCCGAACTGCAGAAGCTTGATCTAACGGGTTACTGAAATGACTATAAATATGCTACTAACATGATTTCAACAGATCCTTATTGTGCGTAAAACTTGGTCCATATGGAAATTTTCTCGATCCAAATGCGATGAACAAAGTTTTTTGCAATTATTTCGCGAATACCATACCCCTTTCGCATTTATGTTCCATTATTAGTTTTATTAATTCTCCTTACTAAAACTGCAAGCAATTTTTTTTTCAATTTATGCTATTTTCCTTTACATCTGTACCGTCTAAATGGAGTTTCCAGGACTTCTGTCGATTACTCCAAATATACTGACTGATACTGCCTGTGTCGTGATAGGTCCAAGTGCACCAGGTCTATTACAATGAGGAACGCGCTGAAGGTGTCGTGAGAATTGAGTCCATAGGGTCGGTCATATTCTATTTTCCCTATTGCATGCACTTAATCGACTGTCCGAGTCTGGCAACCAAATGGTGACGGGACAAGATCCCAGGTAACCCATTCCAAACAGCAGGTATTCGAAGTTACAGGAATCGGCGATAGTTAACTATAAGTTAAGATGAAAAAATAAAATGTCTCACGGTAATTATCGTGTCGTGCGTGGTGCTGATGCCTAATAGTAGTCAATGTTTTATATATTTAACTTTTGAGTGACCCTAATAGTAAAGTATAGTTTTTTAAATTGGCGAATGCACAGAGGAACAAACTTTGCTATTTCTAGGCAGAGTAGTTCTCAACACTCCCACTGTACAGATCCCCTGGTAAGAGGAAGTTGGACGAATTCAATTTTCTTCCGCTCGGCAATTTGGAGGGGACCAAATTATGTAAACAATATTATTGTTCAGGGCTTTATAGATGCAAGTTCTAATTCGACTATTCTTAAAAGTCCAAAGGAAAAACCAGGATCACTGTTTGTTCTTAGAAGACAATAAGGGCATGATGTTTCGAAAGATTGAGACCCAGAACCTTAACAACACCGGACAGGACTGTGACATCCCTGATGTCAATTTCTATTCTTGTCTTTTTTGCTACTAACCATTTGTTAGTAACCAGACTTTACTCATACCACCCCGCCCTTGTCTCTGTACACCTATTCGTCGGTTCTCGTCATTCTTTGTCCATTGTCTATTGCTCTTTGTCGCCGATCGCTTTTAAACCGACCACCAAACATTGACGTCATTCGCTGACTGCTCGTCTAATCACCTCGAATGTACGTCCACTTTTCAATTTATTCCCCGCCTTATTAACTCTATCGTGCTCCGCTAATCTTACCGTTTACTGCTCTAGAACCACAAAGAATAACCTAGTAATCCCGACTGTCTTCTGACATAGCTTTGACCTCGGGTTCGTCTAGTCTGGTGAATAAACAGTTACTGAATCGAGAAAATCTAAAGAATACTAACAACGTCTGCGCTGTGACCGCAGTGCTACACCAGGGCTGCTGGGAACAACAACAACAACAACAACAACAACAACAACAACAACAACAACAACAACAACAACAACAACAACAACAACAACAACAGAAGCAACAGCAGCAGCAACAACAACAGGAGCGGTTGAATGTTTATGGTAAATAAGCGCAGGAGACCATTCGCAGCATCAGTGGGCAGAAACTTTAGGTTT